ATTTGTGTGCGATAGAGAAAGCTTGCATCGGATAGTATTTATTTGTGGAGTAAATATAAGCCAAGTTTTCTTTAAGAGCGGCGGTCAATTGGAAATGTCGATACAATACAATTTTAAAACCCCAAAATGCACCTATATATATTTTTTTAATCAGAGCTTTCTATTTTCTTTACAGAAAATTTCAATCAAACGCTCTCCCTAAATATAATTATTGGAAATATGATTTTATACAACCCCTGTATGAAACAAATCTTCTTCGTCATCAATAACTAAGAAATTGAAAGTTCATGACATTTTCTGCACAATGCGATTAGGAGAGGACCTCACAATCCAGTGTTGCCAATTTGTGTTTCACTGATGACAACTTCCAAAATTCATAACTTTCCTATTTTTAATCGGATATGGCTCAAACTTTCACTAATTCATTTCTCTCGTTGTTCTGCTTTTAATAATACCAGCTAATTATCTGGGTGGGATTCCATTTCATGATGTAACTACTTCTTGGTAAACACGTGTTCAATGTTCTCACAGAGTGTCAGCCTTGTATTTTTAATCCCTGCCACTCCAAGTTCATCTGCAATGAAAACATTCTGTCCTTGCTGTTTTCTTATCATGAACTAAAATCAACCTTGTCATTTTGGTTGAAAGGATTAATGCTCTTCACCGTCACGAAGATAGAATTAAATTTGAGAAAAAGATTTATATAAATCTACAACTTCTGTTTCAAGGATACCATATAAAGGGCATCTGTTATTGTCATCGACTGTTCATCTCCACCCAACCTTGATCAAACTGATGATAATATGTAAACTGATAAATTAGTTTAAAATTCTTATAGGTCTCTTACTTTACGACAGGGATACATTTCATTCACACATGACTTCATTCGTTTGTTTCCTATCGAAATCATGTTGCAGATGTGTTTCAAGTTATGGCTACAAAACAAAAGGTATTATTCATTGAATATGCCTTAAATTTGTGTTTGCTTCAAAGGGTAGTGTTTTATAAGAATGATCTATGGAAGGAAACCGAAGTACGAGTTTACATTATGATTGCAATGAAAACAACCTAATAATCAAAATGACAATGAAGTTCTCTCTTTCTCTTTCTCTTTCTCTTTCTCTTTCTCTTTCTCTCTCTCTCTCTCTCTCACACACACTATCACATACACAAACACACACGCACATACACCCATCTTCACTTCTCAAAAATGAGAGTTATAACAAGTAATTCTATTCATACAATATACACATAGGTTTTTATTTGTCAGTCATTCAATTTAAAAGGCATCTAGTCATTTTGTAATACATAAAGAAAACATAATTGAACCCAACAGAAGATGGCAAGGAGAACTAAACCCATAAGCACCTACAAAATATACCCCTTATAAAAAAAGTCCCTTTCACATTTATTATAAGATGCATTAGGTCTATTTACACTATGTGGAAGTTCATTGGCTGGTAAGTTGCTAACTTGCCTCAAACATCACGATTTTATTAACATCACGACATGATGTCACTCAGTCACTCTAAGTTGCCAAACTACCGAAACGTCGCGAGGTTAAATGAATCGAGATGTTTGCATTGTTTTGTAAATATTAGTTTTTTTTAAATAAGAGTTGAAAATGGTATGTCCTTATCTCATCTCCCGCCACTTCAGTCGAAACAAATTTCATTCAGGACGCCAGTCCTTTGTCGTCTGCTAACAGAACAGTCTCTGCATTTTACTCTAACATCTTCATATCTACCGACGATGCTATTTTTACATTGTGGGCCCGGTTTCACCAAACATGTTATAAATAACAAATGCCAAAAATCTATGACACCTTTGCTTGACAGCCAATCAAATCGTATGATTTCAGAAGCTTGTATCAATATTAGGTTTTTCAGTATTTATAACAAGTTCTATGAAACCGTACCTCGGTCTTTCAAATGTATTATCTATCACTAGCTATATATGAAAACTTACAGATTTAAAATATTAAAAACCGTTAAGCTGATCCAAATATGTATATCAATAGTAATAGTAGCATCGATAAATCTCGCCGAATCCTTTTTTCATAGGCTTTGACTACGCATCTTCATAGAGCAAACATCTGATAAATATATAATTGTATCTACCAAACACAAAGGAGCCTTTACGATAACTATTTGTGATATCCTACGTTATTTATAACTTTGTTTTGAAGTAAAGCAATACTAAAAATGGCGTCTTATTGCAGTTGTACTTCGAAGTATTATGAAACTGGCCTTTATGCATCGAAATCCCAGCTTCAAAGTTTTGGCACCACAAACAAACCGTTATGTTATTTTATTTTGGCACTGCTGAATATGGTTAACCGTTAACTTCGCTAAAAAGACCAATGTGCCTGTTCCTTTCTTTAGAGCGAGTTCAAAATTAATCTCTTGTCAGCATACGTTAAAGTAAAAAGAAATTTTATAAAATATAAGGGAAGACTTTCTAAGAGATTCATATCAGTGCGAACAGTAACGTCTTTACAACTATTTTAGCTCTTCATACCAGTCATTTAACTTTATTTTACCAATAACACAGATTTGTTACCATTACATTTTCACCACCTTAAACATTTTTTAGTCTATTACATTCATGGAGTTCCTACAACATAGTACGTATTATTATATAATCGAATAAGATATTTTCCCCTGCATATGGGCCAATAGTACTTTACTAATCTTCCCCGTCATCTCTCTCCGCTCAACCCATGTCTTACGATAGGTCACCCCATACTGAGGGATTTCCGACAAAAAACGTTTTCTGACAACTTCTGTCAAATTTGAGAGGGCAAAAGCACTTAACGATCCCGACAGTTTTGAACCTTTGAAATCCCAGTCATCTATCTAAAATGACTGTAAGCTCATTTCCTCGACCAACCCCTGGGATTTGTTTCTTAGAGTTACTTTGAAATCCATGTTCTCCTTTTTTTAACGTCAGTTCCGTGAAAGCATTTTCTTAGCAAAGAGAGATAGAGGGGATTTAGAAGTGTCTGATGTTCGAATTTAAGAACGATCACTGAACGATATTCTGAATGTTTATACGCGTCATAACAAAATAGCAAAAATGCTAGAAGTTTATTGTGACAGACACTGAAGTATTATATTACTCGCAGTTGAAATCTAAAATGGTACAGCCGCTTTTCTTATTAACAAAACCGAGACTTTCAAGAAATCAACTCCGCTGTTATATTGATTGTTGCGATCATGTTAATTGATATTGGGTGTTTTCAAAATAGTGAATCTCTTCACAATGTTTTTTTCTAGCGCCCAATACTTTATGATGGTTTACCTTGATTTAAGGGATGTTCTATCATATTCTACAAACGGGTATAAATTAACTCTGATCAGGAACGTCAGGAGACCGGCTTTTGTCGTCACCATCAAAAAAAAAACGACTTAGGTAGAACCCTGGGACGTGGGTCGTTGAACATGCAGAGTATAGTCGGCCACAAGAACAACTCACATGCATCCCTTGGTATAATGGATGAATATTCACATTCTATTCGCTAAAACATTGTCTTGTCTTTATGACCCACCATGACTGCGGATAGTTTGAAAGGCCTGCTTTCCAAACTCTTGAGATTAAAAGTATGTTTCCCAGGAGCGACGTCTCTCATGATCTCGATGACCCTGATAGCATGACCGGTCCACTTGCCTACAACCAGGACAGCCTTATTAAAGTCCTTGTCCAGCCATGCCAAGGCATGACCACAGTAGTCACAGGCCATCACTGCTAGTGCAAGGACACATGTTCGGTTCGACAGAGAGGGCGCCATCTCGAAGGAGAATGTGATTGTCTTCTGAGAACTTGTACTGGTATACCAGTTCTCCTTTTCGGAGATGCCTGTATCCCAACCGTCGTTTCTTGACAAAGAAAACATGCGACCAGGTACGAACTGAGGTTGTGAGAGTGGCCAACACATAGGGTTGTGGATCCATTTAGCAGGAAATCGAGATCTTTTGTTCAGATGGCGTTCCGGTCTTGAAAAGGGCTGGTCCGTTTTGTTCAAGTACAAAGATGTCAAGACTGAGTTTTTACCATCAGGTTTCGGATTTAATTCTGTTGACATCAGTGCCATCAGTGGATCTAACTCGTTTCCTGTCACGACACTGTCGTTTGAAATGTCTCTTTCTGTTTTTCTGTTCCAAATTGCATTGAAAACGGGTTGCTGTCGTTGGTGTGTCTCACCCGAGTGAACATCTTTTGAGTTTGCCTTAAAAACATCATGTAGGTCTACTAGTCTCTGAAGGTATGTTCCATTTGTTCTGATTCGATTCATGTGTTGAACTGTCACAGATTTTAGGATGCCTTTCAGGAAGTTAATGACAAAGAGCCCAGCCTGTTCGTGGGCCCTCTCGCTTAGTAATTCTCCTGAGTGAATGAGTTCATCTGGTGTAAAACCAAGCTGCCAAAGACTTGAACAAACAGCTGCACACCAGCTCACGGATGTGATGTTATAATGACTGCTGAGATGTCGCCCTGCGTAATACTCCGAGTTGACGCAGTCCCGATTGCGGATGTTCTCAGGTGACATAAAATTGACGTACATCAAGAATGGTTTGGTAGGAAGTGCCTTCAGCTGACGCGTAAGAAGTTCCTGCGGTTGAGCGGCATGGTCATAACGCTGTTTATCAATATCAGATCGCATGATGTAGTCATCAGTCGCTGACTCCCATATAACAATGTCCATGTTTTCCACATCCAGATGTGGTTCTGTGCACCAAGCAAAGTAATCGCTGGTGGTGAAGGGGATTGCAGCATTGTGTAAAGTGACGCTCGTCTGAAGGATATTCTCAAGCCATTTCTTGACATGATCAATAAAGAGACAAGACCTATCGGGGCAAATGGTCTGGCCTGACAGCGAACCGCCTATGAGTCCCACCTTGATGCTACGATTTGTCTGAAGAACATCCACAAATATATCCTGCAGTCGTTGAACATCACCTCTCCACAAGAGTGACTTAAAAGTCAGCATCTCCTGCGATATCCTAATCTGTTTCACTCTCTTCGAGAACAGGAACTGGAAATCTTGAAGTCGAGATAAGATGTGTCTCATCTTCGTGTACGCCGGCAACGCCAGATGGAGGTTTTCAACCTTCTCCCAGACGAACTCCTGACCGCCTTCTGCTTCTGCTTCTGCAAGTTTCTCTCTTTCTATTGCGTCCCACTCCTCCGTATAAGTTTGCTCTAGAAGCCGCATCTTTCGTAGGTTGGCGCTGAGCTCCTCGGAGAACTGCTTGAGGTCGTCAATCGTCAGGAACTTGACGTTCAGGTAGAGGAAGACGCCGTTGATGAGCACCATGAGGATCAGCAGTCGACGCTTTATCGACGTACGTCCTATCTTCTTCATGATGAACTCGCTTCCCTGTTTGTCACTAGATTTCTGAAAGAACAAGAACAAGAATACCATGAATAGAAAGATGTATTGTATACTTAAAGATAAACTTGAGTTCTGGTAAAAAAAAAAAAAAGCAATTCTCACATAATCAAATAAAACTTACACTGAAATACATATAAATGTCATGTGCCAAACAATTTCGGAAGAAACTGTATACTGGCTAAGTAATGAGCAAAGAAAGATAAGGAAATCAAGGTATAGTAGCCCCGACACCATTTGTGTAGTCCCATATACATCTTTCTGTGTACAGTGCTTGTTACTTTACCAAGACTGGGCCAAATTTATTATAATTTTGATGACTCCAGAACATTGCAGTACACACCAATACTTACATGCTACATGATCAACTTTTTTCTGATCCATTCCACACCTTTTCTTTCACAATGCAATCGCATTACCAGAACTCACCTTTATCTTTAAAGATAAATTTGAGTTCCGGTCATTGTGATTGAATTGTAAAAGAAACTATTCGAGAGCCATTGAAAGGAGTGTGTTTATGTAGCACATACGTATTAATGTGTACTATTGGGTTTTTTAAACATCAAAATGACACAATCTAGCTGGAAGTCACATACGCTGTACACAAAAATGTGTAAGAAAGAAAAAAGTTCACAAATTGATTTTCACTTTTCCAAGAAGCTAATCTTCCCTTTACAAATAGATTTCGTCTGGCTTGAGGTAGAAAGACATGTATCCTTTAACAAATAGTTACGACCCTTCCGCCTCTCAGCAAACGATCTGTTCCTACTGCTTATATCATGAAGTTAGATATAAGCTCAGTCGTGGAAGCACTCTCTTAGGTTCCAACTAAGAGCATGGTACTATATTTAAAATTAAAAAAAGAAGCGTTCCTAGCTACATATTGTATATATTGGCCGTGAAGTATATCTAAAATCGATTCTTATGCTTCCTTCTCTTCAATTATTAATGATGAAAGGGAAACGCTTTGTATCATTTACAGTAACATGTCTTGTCAGTATAAAAAAAACATATTTTACGTTTGATGTGAGCAGAAGGGTTTATTAAAGGATGTAAAAATAAGAATAAGCTTCTTTGTATTTGATGCGCAGTCTAATATTAACGGTTGTGGAATGCAGGCGGATCGCTGAATGAGTGACTTGGAAAACGAGTGGATAGATGTCTTGGGTCATATTCATCCGAATGAGATCAAGTACTATCTCATGATAGGGTTGAAGTATCACTGATTACAGCTATCAGACCTCGGGTACCTAATGGTGTGCATCCCCCAAAGAGGAGCGATCAAGAAGCATACAATACTGCTTCGGTGCAAGAAAATGATCTTTCAGACATCGTAGTTTTTTCTCATGAAATTGCAGTATAAGTGCTCGAATATGCCTCATGCTCTAAACAAACAAAATTTTCGCCCTTTTTTTTTGGGGGGGGGGGGTCTATTGTCGGCCTGGTTTTGTTCTTCTTGGGGTATTAATGTTGTTTTTTTCCCAAACAGAGTCATCAAGAAATATACCCAAAATGTCTCTGACTTTGTGCCCCCCCCCCCCAAATGGTCTTAACTTAGTGCGCTCTCAAGATAGAGTTAAGCTAATACATTTCCAGGAGATATGACGAAAAAGGCAGCCAAAAACTTGAAGATTCTTCCTCATGTAATAAAACTGAATATCGATTGGAAGTGCTTCCCACGGCACGCGAATGTTTTGACACCCTTTGGTGGTTTAAAGATTTTGGCGCCAGCACAGAATAGGCGTCACTTTTAGACATTGTAAGTAGCCTTGATGCGTGAGGAATATTAATAACAGACTTGCATTTTTTTTATATCCTATTGACGCGTGAAAACAATAGAATTTAAATTGCTAAGCGGATTATTGCTTTCTATTCTATCGTGCATTTTAGTAGAGTTTACATTTCGTACGTTGTTATTTTTAATTATTTTGATTTTTTTTCCTCCTGAAATTCGTTTCTTTTTGCTGTTTTTTCATGGGCTTACGCGTTTTAATGTACGACCTGATCGTAGATGGCATTGGACTTATTTCACTCGTACAGAAGGAAAAATAATTTTGAGAAACCATTATGTCCCTGATATTTCAGAAAGCTTTTTGTATGTGTACTAAACAATTATTACATGTATGTGCTATTATCAGCATGAGGCGTAGTTGATCTGTCCCCCAGTTGTGGATCACAATCATGGTTTGCGGTTCAAGTCCCGCCGCGGTACCAATGTCCTTTGACATGATGTTGTTATTATTTTCCACTATCAATGATATGTAATGTTTTTTTTATCTCGTCATTTAAAGTCAATTACATCATTTCTGAAGAAAGAAGTATCGGTCATGCAATGCAATCACTGGACAACGATATCTATCACATTGCAAAGATCAATTACTTTTTTTTTACATTTTGTTTACCAAACGAAGCCGGGAAGCCGGGTATATACGACTTGGTTTCTTAGAATCCCGTATTAGAATTTTCATTAGATTGGATGAAAACATGGGCGAAATATCGGTTTCGAAAGGAAAATATTTCAATCTTCAAACTAAGGTCGATGTCCTGGGTTGGTGGGAGAGATATCGACCTCCTTACGTACTGAGCTCCCTTAGGAGCAGCGTTTATTCTGCACGAGTTTGGTTAAGAGGTTCAATCTCACCAAGATATTGCACTACTTGTGACAGATAGTGGAGTGCCCTACTTGTAGTACTAGTAGTCTGCATAAATTATATAGACTGTATTTAAAGCCCGACTGCACTAGTTTGGCCAGGAAGGATAAGACCACCCAGCGTGGTCACTGACAGGTGGTTATCTTATCAACTCGGCTCTCAATTAACATAAGACAAAGAGGATCAAGGGAGACCAACGGGCACCGCTGAGGCATTGTTTTCTATATAGAGGGAGCAAGTAGCTACAAGTAGTGCAGTGGTGCTTTAAAAAATGAATACAAATATCAGATGTTAAAATGGTAGGCGTGTAACATGATGTACATCTTGATCCTAATACATAGTCACGATAGTATTCGCAACAGTCTAAAGTAGCAGGTAGTATTCAGAATGGTCAAATTCAACAAACAACTCGTCTTTTGTCTGCTATTCATTCATATGCCAAGGTAATAGATTTAGAATTTAACAAATATCAAATTAAGAGGTTTCAGTTTCGCTCACAAAGGTTAATCTCCTATCTTGTTTCTCTGGGGGAAGGATCTTAATAATTTGCTCTACCCAAGGGCAATTGGACTACCAAAGTACCCGATGAAAGTCCATCTCTTGTAAAGCATCTCATCATTCAAGCCGTGCACGTCTGATAAGACTTCCGCCGACATCGCTCTTAATTTTCAATCCTTTAATCTCTTTCTTGGGGAGAATTTCTCTTTTTGAAGAAACGCGTGCAAGGTTTTGAAAGTCCATCTGTAGAAATTAATGGCACAGCATGGTTTGTCACTCCCTATTCCAGTTAAAGCTGTTTTTGACCTATAGGTTGCAGACATTAACGTCAAGTAAAATCCCAAAGACGATTATTAAATTTCAAAGCTCACGGGAAGTGCATTCCATTTAAGTGCGTTCAAAGATAATTTGAAGTTCTGATGAGAGTCAGAAACTTAGATTTTGAAACTTATTTTCTAATTTATTAAGTGATACGCTGTAAAAATATAGAACTGACCATTCTTACTTTGTTTGATTGGGTCGACCATTATTTAATTCACTATCAGTTCCTTCACCATTATCATTTTGATATTGACGCGCACTTCAAGATTCATCAATTTCACTCATCAATATAAAATACAACAAATAAAAGGTGTATGATTGCACATAAATATACTAGTCAGGTAAACTATGAAAAGCAACACAGAAAAACAGCTTAGTGTAAAAACCAGGTAGGAATTAATTCCTTGAATGCTTGAGCGCCTAAAGCCGGGTAACAATACAAAAAATGATTGCAGTGCCCTCAGAGAGAACAATACTGATGAGGCTTCCATTTGTTAAGAAGACAATCAGCATGTAGGGTGCCTGGGAATCACGATTACAGATCTTTTGACACTTTTTATTATTCGACCCTATATTATTGTAAGAATTATACTGGAATTTCTTGCGCTTACAACACAACATGCAGAGTGGAAGAAAGCGTGTGTTATAAAGAGAAAGTGGATAGAGAATAGGGGGAGAAAGGGGATGACCATAGAGAAAGAACAAGATTATAGAAGAACAGAAGACCCATTGACATGTAAATAGCAATGTACATGTTTTACAGGCTAAATAGCAAGAGGGGGAATACGTTATGTATAAAACAAACAAATAATATACGTGACTCACAGTCACTCACAGTGAAAAATGTGTACAAGCCATTAATTTTGACTTTTAAACATTATTTGAATTTTAAACATTATTGGTATTTACACTTTCTCTGATTCATTCATTTATGCCTGCTGTTATACATAACTCATAAGAAGAGCGTAGAGATGCTGGACAAACTAAGATAAGTCACTGGGCTGACCTATAGACTACTGTTTTTCTACTTAAAAGATGCTGGTCCTGGTCAGGTTTTAAATGGACAATAAGCTTGACCAATGCATTCAATTCAAACAATAAAGTGTATTCCTAGGAGTTACAACTTAGAATCTTCTTATTATAAACGTCAACACGTGGCATCTCCTATTGGAATTCATGTAGAAAGGGATTCGCGAAAAGGTCAAATGAGCGAGAGTACATGCACCCATTGAAGAAAAATAACAGAAAAATCAATGATTTATCACTATAATATTCGCAATGCAGACTGATGTAGTCACAACGTTTTATATTCAATACAAAATGTATGTGCAATAAACAGCACAACATAGTTGTATCTCACGTTGATGATACACTCAATTTCCTTTCATAAAACCACATCATTATGGCAAATGTAATATGTTTACCGAGAATTTGATAAACCTGACAACAGCACATTAAAGTTGTCGGCTGATTTGTTTCCCCCTGAACTAGAGTGATAGTAAAATGGACCGTGTAGTGGCATTCGTGGAAAGCATGTCAATGTCGTGGCACCATTATGTATCTCAAGAAATGTTACAATTATTCTTTCATCTCCATACTTTTGTTTCGTTAGAAAAATAATAACTACTTCCAAGCACGCAGTTTGGACAAAGAGTTCATTCAATTTTACCTTTCCAACGACAATATCTACTACTAGAGGTTGTTTTTATATAACATTCGGAATAGCTGCGCTAAGGGAACTCCTAGGTTATTCTGTCTATAAAGCTCCTAGCTACAATGTAAATTCTCCTCCATAGAACTTATACTCCAAGAAAATGGTTCTATCCGATGTCATTAAAATGATCTAAAGCTTGTCATGCCATCGACTCTTCTCTTAAAGGAGTTGCTGTCCTACTTTGGCTTACAGAAGACAAAGAGCAGACCAAATACAGACATTCAAAATCTTGAGAGGCTTTGACAGAGTGAATCCTTCAAAATTCTTCCAACTAGCCACTGGCTCAGCAACAAGAGGACATGATTTCAAGATTGTCAAACAACGTTTCAACACAAGACTTAGGCAGTGTAGTTTCTCAATAAGGAGTGTAAATTGAACAATTTCAGCTTTAGCTGCATGTCCGATGATTTTTATCTCAATAAACCAATACAATGCAACGATGAAAAAAATGGAATGCCTTGCCTTATGAAGTAGTCAATGCTGCCACCATTAACCAATTCAAGTCATCCCTAGAAAGGTATTGGAGAAACAATCCAATTAAGTTTGAACCATACTTGAGACGGGATGCAACAGTAAAGAGAGACAGATAAGCTAAGCTTCCAGTCTCTACACCCAAGTATACCAAGCAAGTAAGTAAGACATTAGTACGCCCTGTGGTGGAGTATGCTTCAATAGTGTGGGACCCGTGGTAATGGTGCAAGTCTGCAGGAAAGAGGGCTCAGCAGAAAGTAGGCATGGTTTACAGCATACTCCGCCATCCTCCAGTCACCTACTTCATACCAGTTGTTGGTCCCAGAACCCGTGGAAATCCGCAGAAGTTCCATGTTCCCTTTGCCAGAACTCTACTATTCCAAACCACATTCTACCCTGATACTATCCGACTGTGGAACTCCTTACCATTTGCTGTCGTCAATCACACCTCTTTGGAACTTTTCAAGCAGAAGGTGCAACACATTAAGCTCCGTTGAGCTTCAGATTGCTTTTAGCTGCACATAGAATTCTTTTAGAGTCTTTTTACTTGCACTGTACACTCGGCACTTGACAAGAACAAGGTACGATGATATGGCAACGGCGGTCTGTACTATACTGGATGAAGAAGAAGAAGAAACCTTCTGAACCAGCAACTCCTTTTTGAAATGGTTGCAAACATATTAAGGTGTCAATACGTAAGCTTAATATATGCAAGTAACATTATCACAAAATGCGCTAAGAGTTTGAGCACCATTTCAGAACTAGTTTGTATAAAAGGCAATCATGACGGCTGCACATGTACGTTTAAAGTATACAGTGCAAACATTCACCAATCAATGTCTACCGTTGTTGCATTGTACGCAAACCCTACCGCATGTTAGAGGTATTATATGGATTAGATATATATAGTTACCTTCGTGTTGTAGTTGACACCTTCCTTGAAAGGACACACAGGCGACAGGTTTCATTTAGTCCCGTTTTATACCAGCTGGGATTGGCGCCAAGAGACTACAATTTCGCTTCATTTATACGTACAGTAATATCATCGTTTAGCTCGCACAGAAAGAATGTTCCTTGATACACCACCAAGTTGCTTCTGAAGTAAAATGTTTGTTTACAAACTGGAAATCATTTCTTTCTTGCATTTGTTCAGATAAGCTCGTGGGGGTAGAATCCGGATCGAAGACGCCCCTTCCCTGAATAGCCCTGGACAATGGCGATCGATTGAAAGCGGGGAATGGTCTGGCGAGCTCGTAGGCTGACCGTCCCATGCCCTATTGAGCTAAGGGTGGATTATATTTTGTGGGCAATGGGATGAAAATTGTCTAAGTTTAAGGCGTTTACTTTGGGCGTTACCATTCCTAACATGACTTTACTTTGAGAAAGTCGATCGCAAAAACCTTCGAAAACTCTACCTAAGACAATGTAATTAGCCTCGTCCAACACCTTGTGAAATGCGAAAACACCGCAGTGATGTGTTACGTAATGAGAACATGAGTTTTAGGAGGACATATTACAGGATATGGGAATTGTCCTTACAATTATTTCTCGAAAGTCTTGGTGATCATTTTTAGGACAGGTTTATGATCAAGGAACCATCAAGTGGTGCATCACTATTGATACAATGAATAGCGGGTTCTCATTGAGACAATTGCCCATTCAGTAGCTTCCTTCATTTACAAAAATCATGTATTTCCTTAGTGTTTACTTTAAAACAATGAAAACGAATGATAATTTGAAGCGCAGTGATAAGCTAGTCAAGAAAATTAAGTAGCAATGCGTTCAACACTGTACATTCTCATTGTCATCAATAAATATTGAGACGGTTATTCCGGGATCGCGTGCACATGCTACATATAGCAAGTATGCCATCGAATCACTTGGATACATTAAGGTTTCAAAATGAAGACTAAAAAGACATTCTTTATCTTCTTTTCTTTGATGTCACTGAAGCTATTGTTAGAAGAGAAGTTTTTCTTGTGAGAAACCGTTGACTCATGTAAAGGAGCTAGCTCAGTAAAAGTCGTTTCTATAATCCCTATTGATATTTCTGGGTAATAGGAACCTGATTACCCAAGGCTTTGTTAAGAATCACGAAAATCTCCCGCTCAGCAAAAAATAATTGAAAAATTTAGTTTTTCATTTATAATTTATACTTTTGAATGCACTTTAGCTTTTAAAGGTCAAAAGAGCCAAATCTCGATGAACCACTTTTGCCCACCTTTACAAGCGTCGTTATTAAGAATGATTCTCTTTTTATCCATCGATGTCTTTCTCTCTTTCTCTATCTTTCTCTTCAGACCTGTTTTTCTCTGTGTCTCCTGTTCTTTTGTTTTGCCCATCTGTATCACACAAACACATACACTCTTTCTCTCTCTCTCTCTTTATCTCTCTCTCTTTCTCTTTCTCTCTCTCTCTCTCTTCCTGACAGACATCCTTTTTTCTCCTTCCCCTCTCCCTTTGATTTTTAGGCGACCAAGGCTTGGGACACGACAAACATTATTCTATCATTCAAATCTTCTGGGTTTGAAAAAAAAATGATCCTGCTTTGTCTTCATTCTGCTCAAACTGTTAACTTACAACAGGATCACACAGACTTTAAAAAAATATTTAGGGCAATTTCAATACCTTATTACTCGCACGTTTCAAATTGTGATGGACAAAACTATCAAAATTGCCTTAGCTTAATTTGTATTCGTAAGTCTTTGCGATCCTGTTTTACCCTTTCTAATTCTAACCGTTCATGCAAATACATTGATTCTGTAGCCAATAACTCGCTAAATAAAACATTTTGATTTTTGATTTTCTTTCTAGTTACGTGAAGAATTGGACGTGGGTGACCTGATTCAGTTAAGTAGCTCGATATCCCCTCATGACGTGGGGGCGCTGTTGAAAGAATACTTCCGTGATCTGCCCGAACCCCTGCTCACGAGAGAACTCTACACCGCATTTGTAGGAACAGCCAGTAAGTTATCGACTAACCTAAATCATTATCTTCAAAATATTATGTTGTTGGAAAGGAAACTACCTTGATCGATGCACCGACTATGGAGTTGAATTAAAAGAAACATATTTTTAAAACAAGTGTCAAGCAGAGGCAAACCATTTAAAGTTCAAGCATTTGATGAAATGCTGAAACTTAATTTTCATTCTGACCATTCTAAAAGTTATTTTGTTTTACTAAATTACAATGTGGCTTTACTTAGACATGAGTTTAAGACCAAATGTAGATGAAAACCTCTTTTCATGTTTATTTTTTATCTTCACACATTTCATCGCTAATTTATTTTGTTCATTCGCTTTTTTTTAATTCGCTTCAGAATTATCCAACTCACTGGAGCAGCAAAAGGAAGCACTTCGACTTCTTGTATACCTCTTGCCCATTGCACATCGAGACACACTGAGGGCGCTCTTGTCTTTCCTGCGCACCGTCGCCGCGCATTCCGCCGACGTCATAGATGCGGACGGTCACGAGGTAGGCATTAACTGACCAATCACAGAGCCGATGGCGCCAATAGGGTGACATAGTGTTAAGACAGTTATACATGGTGTACTTTAACTTGTTGAAGCAAGGGTTTTCCTGTATGGAAGGTCCTTGTTTTGATGATGAGCATGAGAACCCTCTTTCTGATTTTGATCTCATACAGAGGTCCCAGATCACACTTGGTAATCTGTACGCGAAGGTGCTGTGGGATTTATGAATAAAGAGATACCATTTCTAAACATGCCTGAAAAGTCTGGTCACCATGACGTATGACGTAAGAGTAAAACCAGAACAAATGAGTAATACGAGCATATAATGTATTGAATTTAAACATAATAATGTGCATTTTTTTTTTAAATAAATGATGATTATGAGAATAACATGACACACAACTTCGTAGCCTCTCCTGCTTATTTCATATTTATCCACGTATTAAGACAAGTGCTTCCATCCCAAGGAAAGGATGCACTCTACGGCTTTTACAGACATTCTCGGGCTATACAATTTTTCTTGAAGAACGTACAAGCATTACAAATACGTGTTGGTCTTACTTGAATCGCATTTCGAAAGAAAAAAATAAGTCTCCCTGCTGGACCGGGCAGAGCTGAGGATTGAAATGGGTGATATAAATATTGCAAAATTGTTTATTTACTTGTATTAAAGAGAACTGTCGCTGAGCTAGCACCATGAGCGTCCCTGGATGGTGTGTGCGCTCTACAAGTTTACACCATTATTATTATTATTATAATTTATGTGCTGTATTTTCTGCCTCCAATAGCAACAAGGAAACAAGATGGACTCCATCAACCTGGCCACGCTGTTCGGTCCAAACATCCTGAGACGGACCAAATCGGGCGAGTTGAAGGGCGACGCCGCCGACCACATGGAGGAGAACCGTGACGTCATCCAGGTGGTACAGCGGCTCATCGACCATCACGACGAGATGTTCATGGTATGTACTATTTATTTTATTTTATTGAAATATATTTAATCAGGATAACAAGAATCAGATATACATTGGAGATACAAAGTCTGTTTTACACCCTGCTCCTGAACAGAATAAAAATGTAATACACAGAAAAATGACTGATGAAAATCCCAAAGCTCACAAACAAAGGTAAAAACATTATAAAACTAACATATAAGAATAATAGGCATTAGAAGTAGTAAAACGCGCTCCAAAAACGTGATTTGTTAGGTCTTTTTAAAGATTGATATGCAAAAAAGAGACACCAACGATATAATTTGAAATACACTCAAACGCTTTCTGATTTACAGGACCACGTCTGTTACGTACAACCTTTTACAGTGGACAGTTACAGTACATTTCTCACCAGAGAGTGTGACGTGGAATCATTCCTTATTTAATTGAATTTATTTTCACATTTTCACAACTCCATTTAAGGAAAACAAATGTGAGAAAAATCGAACAGGTATATATGATAAAACAAACAAGAAGAACATTTAATCAATGACATGTACTAACCCACACCAACATCATGGAAGAAAAGTTAACAGGTTTACATATTTGTATATTTGGCTATTAACATTGGGAAATACTGGGATGACCAGTAGTAAGAGTATATTATTTGTTTGATTCAGTTAGAAATATTGATGAATAATTCTTACCTTCAAATGATAACAATCCACAGGTCTCAGGGGAAATGCATGACGAGGTTCTCCGTAGACTTCAAGATATGGATTCTGAAGCACTGGACTATCTTCTAAACAAGAGGCTTCGTGGATTAAGGTAAATAAAATTACACCAGCGACCCGTTTCACAAAGCTTTTTTACAATGACAAATGACTAAAATCAGTTACAAATCTGCTGATGACCAATCAGAAGCAAGGATTTCGGTAGCTTATAACAAAAACTGTCATTTGTCACCGATGACATGTTTTGTGAAACGCCCCCAGTTCATAATCCTGTTGCTTTCCATCTTCCCTTCCCGTTTGTTCACCCCACTAACATCGTGATCGCAAAGACTTTCGAAAAATCAACCTGAGATGATTTCAACATCTTTGTCCATCACGTCTTGAAATGTGTGGACATTACAGAGGCGCTATAGCTCAGTCGGTAGAGCAGTGGTCTCGTAATCCGGTGACCCGGTGCCATTTGGTAAGGCATTAATCCTCATTACCAGGTCCCTTGGAGAGGACCTAAAGCCGTCGGCCGTCTGGTTGCTTACTTACAAGCATTTATGCTTTTTTAGCAGTCAGGTAAAATAACCACCACCACCACCATTCAATATTATCCGAATATGATTTCTATGGGAACGTCTACGATAGGGTATTGAAATTGACCTTGAGTAGATTTCTCGATCTTCTCTCAAACCTAGGTCAACTATCGATATGACGGCTGGTCCAGAGGGGTACAGGAAGTGGGATAGAAAGTATTCTCAATCTCTCATTTCCTTTTCTTTTCTTTCTCTTTTCATTAAAGATGGTGTTTATCTAAACCTCTTTTTTCATTTTGAAGCCTATTTGCACTAGTTTGACCAGGAGGGATTAGACCTCCCTGCATGGTAACTGACAGATGGTTATCTCATCAAATCAGTTCTCAATTAACATAAGAAAAAGGGGACCGTGGGGGACCAATGGTCACCGATTAGGCACTGTTTGCTATATATCGGGCGCAAGTAGCTATAAGTAGTGCAGTGGGGCTTTAAACTATTATCAAAGTTGATGTCAGTGACGTGTTTAAACAATATAAATTGTAGCTTTATTTTCCGGGAGAAAATGAAATTATATAAAATCCATTACCTTCTCATATATATACATTTTCATTCTTCCCGATCGCAATAGCAATGATTTTACATATCTAAAGCCTTGACCTTATACCTACCCCTGTAATTCTCCAGCATTCTGATACAAATTTAATTCAAATATTTGTCAGTTATGCAAGGTCTAGAGCTATTATCAAATTACAAGTGTATTTATTTCATTACAAGGATATGATATAATGAAAATAATATAACCACACTACAAAATGCATTTTAATTTATTGCTTGGTCATGTACGGTTACACCCTCCTTTTTTTTCTTTTATCGCAATTTTGATCATTTTTTCTTTCTGAATTTTCTTATCATAATGGCTTTCATCTGAAAGGAGGTGAAAAGACGTTTTTGGTATGATTGTAGCATGACCCACGTGAACCCTGACATCCAGCTTGCGCTTCCTACTCGCTTTTGAAATGAATATATTTGAAAAAAAGCCATATTAATTTTGTCATGAAAAAGCGACCTCCTGCTATAGTAAATCGAAGCCTGGTTAATCTTACTTTTAGTTTTTACTTCAGTGTATGATAATGATTAAAATAAGACTGAGATGAGACTCATATGAAGCCTCGATAAAAAGAACACTCTGTATTATTGTAGTAAAGATGTTTAACTCCTTTTCCCCGAAAATTGAATCCCTTAATTCCAAATTAGTGTATAATATTCCATAGACACTGCACGTGTGACATAAGTGGTCCCTCACATGTTCAAATTCGACAACTCTGGTCACAGCACGATCGCGATTTAAGGCCAGATTACTTAACTAATTGACTAATTGCATCTGCGAAGAGAACCCATGTGTTAGATACAAGAATTCTACGTTGGTATTGATATCAAGGGCAATAATTACCATGATTATTTTTCTCCTTCCTCGACCTTTTTGTGAGAAGGTTCATTTTGCTTTCGACATCATCCCCATATTGTTTTGAAGGCCATTGTTGGTTGAACATTTCCGAAGGCGCCGAGAAACAAGCATGGTATTTTTCGCTGGCATACCTCATACCCAGTCCATCGCCCCTCCCCTCCCAAAATTACAGTCCCGTCTACAGTTGTATGTTTGGCTAAATGCATGCCATTGTCACATGGAGTCACAATGTTGCAGTCGGAATTATTACTTTTGCTGACTGGTTTCAAATATCGGGGGGGGGTGGGAGGGGTGGTACACCAAGATTGGGATCATGTATCGGTAGCATATTTAAATCAAAAGTAGGTAAAAGTTTGTAAAATCCATTGTCACTGTGTACTTGATCAGTTGCAAGTCCTGACAATTGTACTAAGCACTCTTCAAAGAAATATTTAAGATGTTTTAATTTTGTGTAAAAGGCGAAGCAAGAATTGAAAAATCGCTTTTCTTTGAGCTAAATTTTTCGTAAAGTATTTCAGTGTCACCTCCCATGAAAAAGAAGCAATTCATAGGTGACGACTTCATCGTTTAGTTTAAATGATATTAATATGTATATATGAAATTCATAATTTCGTGCCACAAGCTGTGTTTCCCTAGTGTACATGTTCAAGTTTTTTGCTTTGCCAAATTATTAACTCGGACTGTTTGTTTTCTTGTTTCCATATAGTTCGGAGGAGGCTGAAGAGACTCAGCCATCGGAGCCAATGGAAGCTAAAGTAGCTGAGGATGACGGCGAGTTCCATATGTCACATTCTGAAAATATCCTAGAACTGCATGAATGCAACAGCATGAGTTCGGACATTTTCGAGTCTTCGGACGACAGTTGTTTGGAGACACGCAAAGGAAGCCCACGGGCTCATGAATGGCTTCTTAGAGGGTCCGTAAAAGTGAGCGCCGAAGTGGCTCGGCAGAAGGCTAGCTCGTTACCGCGCGCGGGATCTGCTGGTGCAAGGACTAATGCGCGCAGAAACAATATGCTAGCCGATTGTGATGAAGTGACAATGTTGGATGCGTATACTCTATCGGAACATCCCGATGAGCAAAGTGAGCAAGATGTTAGCGAATGTGCTTCGGCGGATTCCTCTCAAGAACAACCGACCGGAGGAATTGAATTTAGTGCCCCACCCCGAACATCGCCCTCGGCCCACCGCCCACCACCTCGCCTTGTTATCCCGCAACATAAGGGTTTGTCCAATAGCCGCAGCCCCTCGCCGAAAACGTTCCGCGTCACGTCGTCGAGTCCGCGTCAGCGTTCTGTGTCACAACCGCCCGAGTACGGCAGTGTCAAGCCTGGTAGCTCCAAGAAAGAGAGTGATATTTGGATCCCTGTCTTTGAGATGCAGCCCACAGGCCTGTACTCGCCGCAGATGCCTAGGCGGTCGTATCTAGAGCGGTCGCAGTGGTTTGATAACTCCGAGGTCAACAACAACTCCGTTGGAAATCGAGAACCGCCGCAGGAGCCGAAGCCGCGAACATTATCGCCGTCGGAGGAAGTCGGTCTAAAGACAATCAACACCACTGTTACACCTACTCACATCGAGTGGTCAGTGAGTGACGTAGGTAAGGTGCGAAGCAATAGCGAGGTTAGCTCACCTCCTAGCTCTGCTTGGTTCACGCCTCCGAGCACTCCTGATACGCCAAGAAGCACGGATGCCGCAGAGGGCAGGGGTACGCCGCCAAGGGACACCATGGTGGGCAACCCAGGTAGGACGTCACTGGCGATGACGCGTACGTCTTGGGACGCATCGGCCGATGATGAGGAGTGGGTCAAACGGTGGGAATTCCTGACCTCTGATGAAGATGGTGAATTCTGGGGCCAGGAAACGTTGGTGTAAGACTCCTTCATTGGAACCTCATCCTATATACCAGGCACAGTCTCATCCACAAAGAATAGAGAAATCTCGAATGGATAGCGAATGTTCGGCAGCGACGCGTTTGGACGCGAATGAGAAATCGTCATCGCCAGGAAATTAATTTGCCTTTGGATATCTTTGAAATGCATCGTCGAAACGGGAATAAACCCTGCAACCCTTTGAGTAGATCACGTTTCCTATACCTCTGCCATAACCCCACACCTTTAAAATCAACCTCATGACAATCAATTCTATCAAAGCCCCTCCCCCTTTATCGAAAGGAACTGTCAATGATGTAAGAATGTTACCCTTTTTCTTGGAAAATTCGTTATTTCATCAATGTCAGTGTTTGTTCCAAGTTCAGACCTATCGCGTGAAAATCGAATCCAGGTAGAAGCTCATGAACAAGGATGGATGTTCGCATGTTGATTCGCGAAATGATTGCAGGAACTTGACGAAAATTTGATGATTGTTAGCGTAGCGAATTGTGACAGCTTACAAGGTTGTAATGTCAATTTGCAATCCATTGTTAAACTCTTTCTCTCTTTCTCTTTCTGTATATTTATGTCATCAATAACGGGTACACGTCTGTTCGATCAATGACTTCGCTCGAAGGTAATGAAGACATGACATGCGACGTACGAGTTTGCAATGTCTTATGTTTTATGGTTGCACGTCTTTCCGAATCGCACGATCATGTATCATATTGGAAAACGAGCAATCGCACTCCGGTGATTTGTAAGGTCATCATCATCAACGAAAGTCACATTAGTGGAATCTGAACGCTGATGACCCGTCACCAACACACGAGTATGAAACTTACGATTAGCGGAGAGCAACACATGCTCGAATGTGATTTTCCCGCCAGATTAGTTACGTGTGAATATATTTGCCACGTGATATTGATGGGATCGTCTGGACCCGATCTGCGAGTTGGTCAGCGTTCTTCAGTTTTATGGAAGGTGGAGAATTTAAGCGGACTTCGAATTTCTAAAACATACTCGCAACTGGGGCGTCGTTTTTTCTTTCCTACCATGTAGCAAGTTGGAGCTCGATTGCACTTTGTTTTCACATTGATCAACATGTGTTCACGGATTCAAATTTCTTCTGTTTAGGAACACAAACTTATATGAAATGATCATCTAATCGAAAACTGATCAAAATCATATTACATACCAACCATGTAATATTGTAGTTATTTAGATTGATTAATAAGGTATAGCAATTATTGCACAAATCGTGTAGATTGTACAAATTAGAATGATAACGAAGGTAAGATTTTGTTATTGTCAAATATTTCCTTGTATATCGACCATCCATGGGACTGAACTGAACGAATCACCAACTAAAGATGAAGACGAATATTTGTACTCCCAGAAAAAAAAATCCCAAGGAACTCTCGAAAGCAGAGGAGGAATACCATTGTATCGATCAGGTGATATTTACTTGTGTAAATTGAAACTCACGTGGAGTAGTGACTTTTAGTACGGTGGACTTCAGACATTAAAGAACTGTGTAAGAACTTTGTTGCTGGGAAGACTGATACTAACTGCCTTTCAGGTTTTTACTGTCTTTGACAAGTTGTTGACCTTTCTGATTTGACAAGTTTAACGACGCAGAAACACGGCGTGTCGATGAGGTAGTCTTGAAATGATTTAGATAGATGACTGCCGCAATGATGAAATTATTAAGAATGTGGCATGGTGCATTCTCATCAATGTAGGACGGCTTGATTCGAATCATCGGATCATCGCGTCGGGTCGTTAGGTGGTGGCGTTACCCGACCTTTTGCGAAGACATGCCCCTTTGTTCATGAAATTTCGGGGTAATGTATATGAAATATATGTCTCTAATCTACAAATGGTCTGGTCTAATTTATCCGACACTTTGTGAAAACCCTACGGAAAATCTACAAAAGGTCGCGTCATCTTCCGCTTTCGTCTTACAAAAGGTCGTATAAGACGACCACCCGACTGGCGCGATGACCTGATGATTTGAAGTATGCCACATAGGTCAAAGATGGACTGGGAATTAAAGGGAGAATTGGGTTGATTGGCATTTTTGGCTTTGGGACCTGTCAATTTATGGCCATTGGGGCGATATAACAAGGTGCGATTGCACCAAAATACCTGTTTACCACCAGTCCGTTTTTATTCACTGATCCCAAACGTTTTGGCATTTAAAAGAGCACTTTGTTTGGGGTTTTTGTAAGCTCGTGTGCCATTATGGCGAATATGAGATGTAAAAGCCATGATTAAGCTCTGATTAATCATTACAGTGGGATTCACTGACATAAATCGAGAGATTTGGATCGACTAACGAAGAGGAAATTCAAATCACTAAATGAAGGCGACGGTTGTCTCGAGTTCGCCATTCGATTACCCGTTCTTGTCAAGAGATGGCGGTATTTTACAAAGAAATGGCGTTCTGAAGAACAAAAGGTGTTATACGACTCAACTCAGTACTTGCGTGTCATATTTTTTTTACCACATATATATTTTGTGACTTATTATCAACATGTGTGTGACTTTCCCGGCATTGCCGATACAAACATGACGTTCGTAGGAGGATGTGAAATAACTTGAGGACGGAATTGTGTATGATAAATGTATTTATGACAAAATAGAATGTTGAAAATTACTTTTTTTCACAAATGGAATGTTGGAAATTACTTTTTTCCAAAATGGTTGAGGAAGAGGGTACGAGGATGATTTTATCCTCGAACACCTCGTGCAGGACGATTTTTTTATAGTCGTGCGATTGTATAAAGACGGTTTAGCACTGCCACAAATGCTATGTGTTATGTATTTGAGAAAAGCACTTCTATTTTCCGAAACAGAATTGCCGAGAGCAAACGAACTTTGCCGATCGTTCGGGTGAGAGTAAAGAGTCGTTTTCAGTGTGGACGAAACGATACGTACAATGTACATTTCAACTCAGTTTTGCATTCTCTAATTTGTAAGAAAATGATAAAATCGACATTTGTAGTTAACTATTATAATGGTAGATATATCAGCAGTACGTAAGTATGTATAATACTATGGAACGCCGTGCGTGGATTATTTTCATAAATGCATTACGAGGCGTGTTGATCACGTGACCATAAGTGTTTTGTTTCGTTATGTTAAAAGTAAATTGTCTGCGATTATTTTTTTCAATATATTCCAAAATAGAGAGCATTTATCCAGAGGCATATTGTTCCAGTTATTGTGTACAGAGTAGTCTTATTAGGCCTATAATATTCATTGTATAGCAAGCATCTATGCCACCTCCCCCTCCCCCCCCCCCCTTCGCATTCCTTCACAAAGTCATCATTCAGACGATGTATACGACAATGGTATCGCTACCCATCAAACTAAATAGGCTTTCTTCCTGATCATAATTCCATCAAAAATCGCAAAGAAGAGGATTACGTTTCCCAACATTGTGATTCAGTGACAAAGCTCATATTTAAAAGACTAACTGTCATGAAAAAGGAAAATTTATATCACATATTTTTGTTGGCATTCCTGATGAAACGTGAATTTGATGCCGGAAGTAAAATCCATTGATATGCTGCAGTCTGTTTTTCTTCTTCTTTTTGTTTTTGTATAGTCACGTGAGACGTTTGTATTTTCTAAATCATATGCTGATGCGTTCAAATGCCCTTTTTACTTGGTTGTTCTCTTCGCGAATTTCAGTGCAACATTTAATTCGTCAGAGTGTGAACGTGATTTTAACAATTATTTTGTTTCATCTCGAAACATAGCGAGAACTGTGGTATATTGGTTAAAGGTCTTGTCTCTTAAACGAAAGGTCCGGGATTCGATCCTTGCTCTGTTCTTACACCTTTGGACAGGGTGTTCACCCACATTTATACGGAATTATACCACTCCACCTTGGTGTAAATGGCTAGCTAGCAATGTTTGGGTAATAGTAATTTCAGGGCCTGCTGGAAGAGCAGTATAACTCCTGATTTGGCTACCATTGGTAGATTAAACCGAGATAGTGTTCATTATTTTATCATATTTTAAGAGGATGCACGTTTTAGTCTTTCCAAAGATGATAATTAAGGGTGTTTACATCATGTAGATAGGAGTGATGCCTAATCTTTTATTAAAACAATCATTTATGAAACGAAAATCTCTTGCCATTTAAATATGAAAAGAAAATATATCTGGGACACCACAGTCGCAGCTGCATTATATTCTTCTTCTTTTTTTTTTATAGCAAATGTTACATTTGTTTTCTGTATTAGAAGATATAGTAGATATCTCATTTATATTTTGTATACCTGTCTTTTTTTTTACATAATACTTCATTTTATTATCAATTTTATCTTTCCATAAAATACCGAAGTCTTATCGTACAATATGTTGTATTGGAACGATATTTTTTCGATTTATTTACTGATTTGTAGGAAATTCCTGTCCGCCCTTTGTAAAAATGTTTGCAACATCCAGTGGTATATAAAGAGGTCAGAAAATTAAACTTGCAAAAATAAGCATAAAAGGGTATGGTATACCTAAGACTTTCCGTTGGACCACTTTAATTTTGCTAAAACTGCTGAATTATCAATATCACAGTTAAACAAATGCTTTTAAAAATGTATTTAATTTTAATTTAGTTTTCATAAAGGCCTCCATTTTCACACACTTATCGATGAACATGCTCTCATCAAAAAGTCTTTCCAATTGTTTATTTGTTCAGATTGAAAGTATAATTATTGTAACAATTGATACTCCCCATGTTTCAATATACGTGTAGAAGCCCATTCGCCATGAAGATGATTCCATAACTATTATATAGTTATAATAAAATGATTCTGAGGAGGCGTTATTCATAGATCTATTGTTCCTATTTAATTTGTATGCTTTTGCTTAAATCACGTGACCTTTCCTACTGTATCAACACGGGACAGTTTGTTTCATAATACCACATGACTCTAGAAGAAAGAATATATTATGTTTTAGAGAAAAACAATCAAGAGTTAAAACACCCGCATACACATAAGTAGAAAATAATTTTGTATTACTTCGCGGAATTATATAAATAATGGTACTTGTTTTATGTCAATCAGCGTACGTTCGTTTAACTAATGTTTATGTGATACTTTGTCATTTAATGTATAATGTACACCATTTATCTATTTGAAGAAGACAAAAAGTGTTAATGGTTATACGTCTGTGTTGCAAAATAATTGTTCATGCTTGTTATAAAAATTAAAAACTGTAACCACTTTAAAAAGTACATGAACACTCGCCTGTAAATATAAATGTGAAAATGAAAACAAGACGATTCGATGAGTATTTATTAGTGTAATTGGTCTTTTAAAATTGTCAAATTGAAAATGTAACATGAATTGAACTCTTAAGGGAGAGGATAGGAGAGATGGGATCGTTGGAAAATGGTAGGTTTGGGGAATACCGTTTGTTAGAATCTTTTGCTATTACCCGATATCTTTTTTTTCTTTTTTTTTCCTTCAAATTTTGTACTTTCATGTGTGTATTGACGTCTCGGGGGCAAAATAGGTAAGATAGAGAGAGAGAGAGAGAGAGAGAGAGAGGGGGGGGGGGGGGGAGACAGAGAGAGGGAGAGATAGATAGGAGAAAGAATTCTCAATTAACAGGACAAAGGAGGCGGATTAAACTCTGAATGAAACATGATGTATATCATAATTTCATTTCCCGAGCGAAATTAGAAGTGAATGATTTGAATAAATAATCAAATTTTACGGGAGAGTTAAAATTGAGTTATTTCGACTGTTATTGTATAGTAGTAATCAGTCGTATTACAATGAAAGATTATAACTTTAAATATTCAGACATTTTATTCTTAGCCTTTCCTTATTTAGCGGTATGTACGCACATTTTTAATTATAATTAATTCAATGATTCATCCAGTATGTTTGAATGATTGGTAATGCGTTATATATCCTGGTCTATCTATTATTCTAGTATGAAAAAGATTTTGAGTTGGAGCCACTCCCGACTCTATTTTGTCCGACTGGAAGAAAGAACAGCCAGAAAACAGTGTGATAATAGTGAGGAAAGAATAGACTTTAAAATATTTTTAAAAGGTCGAAAGAGGTTTTAAAAAATTAACAAAAAATGAAGAAGAACAAAACACACTGTCATTTGACTGTTTAAGCATAACCTTTGCTATATCCCATAAATTCTCTTTTTTTTTTTTCTCCCCTAAATTCTCCTTTTCTCTTTGTATGTACTTATTTTCCATTTATGTATATCACATACTTTTGTTATTCTTCACGAACTTTCAAACATCCTCCCGCCTCTCGCTCTTCTCATTTGTTACAGGGTAAGGTTGACTGTACTCTGAACGTTGGGGTCAGTGGATCTTTCACGTGGAGAAAATTGGTCTAGCGTCCTCTTTTGTTGGCTTTATTCATCAGACCCATCACTATTAATTTCATTTCACCAAGGAAAGTCGCTCGTGGGCTTGATTTCCGAAGCCCACGCCAAAGCTATACACGAAATTGACTGGCGCAAATAATCTTTGAGATTGAAGAGCGCCATCTAAACGAAGAACAACCAACCAACCATCTGTAGGCGGAGTTCAGTGGTGAATTTATGTACGAACGTCAACAAAGAATAATCTTAATAAATGGAAACAATTACGTTCAAAGCTCATGAAAAGAGGGCTAAATTGATCTTCCAGTGAATAAGCAGGAAGGCTCGAATAACATGACATTATTGATAGATTACTGCCGTTTTCAAATAGTCTGCAATAAAACGGGAAACATACATTTTGCTATCTCTCTGCTTTCTATGTCCATCTCTGCCTCTCAATCTTTCTAACATCCATAAACTTTATCCCGTTATTAATCTTTGATTATTGAAGATACTAGTAAATGCTAAAAATCATCTCCGATCCCATCTCCATCTCTCTCTCTCTCTCTCTCTCTCTCCCTCCCTCTCTCTCTCTCCCTCTCTCTCTCTCCCGTTTGTACCCCCCCCCCCCACCCCCGCCCCCGCCCTTACCCGCACTCAACACAATGTTTTGCTATGAATATATTTATCAATACATTTCTCTCACATACCCTGCTCTCATACATTACTCACCTCCACTCTCCCCCTTATTTTTCTCTTTCTTCCTCCCTCCCTCCCTCCCCCTTTCTCTCTTTCTCTCTCCTTCCCCCTCTCTCCCTCTCCCTCTCCCTATTCCCCTCTCTGTCCCTCTCCCCTTCCCATCTTCCCCTCTCTCTCTCTTCATATATATCTCTCTCTCTCCTCCCCCTCTCTCCCACGATATCGTCTCCTTTCTAACACTCAATCCCCCATCTCACCAGGCACGAGCCAGTAAACCCCACCGATGCCAGCAAGCGATGGTTGGTACGTTATTACAATATTTTTGAATCTCAGCCAGGATAGACGGCAGAAATCCACTCGCTAAAACCTTTAATCCAGCCAAATATCGTGAATACACGCATCAACATGAATATTTTTCTCTTTAGTAGTACTGCGAACAAAAATATGTCAATTATACTTTTAAAAAATTGATGAATGATGGTGGAAAGAAAGAGATTTGGCTGCCTTTTACACCATTTTTTATACTCTACACTTTCATCTTTTTGTGCACAAAATGCTGTATAACTTGTCATACTCCTTTCCATCATTTTTCTGTACAAATAAAAGTGTTACAATTTTAAAATAATGAAAATGTATCGTTGGCTTATAAGATGGCGATTCCGACATAAGTTGGAAAGGATCTAATATCGAGTATACGAAAATCTACATATCGAGTCCACGTACCGTATGTAAATGGATACCCCCTAAAAGAAAAGTAATACTAATGAATAATCATAATAACAATCACTCATCTGTTCTGTTTAAGCAGAAATAAGCATGCACTACATGTAAACAGATTTATGAAAAAAGGGGTTGTGAAAAGCTAACAATGGGTAGAATAGTTCATGAATTATTCCCGATGTTAGCCCAAACCGGGCCGATTGAAAGTCATGTATGTTTCTTACCATTGTGCCTCGTAATGAAACATTGTAATCACCTGTTTTAATATGGTGGTGTTCAGCGGATCAAATACTGCATGTGGTGGCGGGTTGGGGACATTGAATACTGCTATGGCGGGTATGCCTCTGCCAAGGTTTAAAGATCATTCATTTTTCTGAAAGGTAAGAATTGTTCATGGATACATTCAGGAATATGTCTCTTTATGATAGTAGGTACCATGTTGTTTGGGTAATTTGCTCCCGGCGTCAACTGCTCTGGGCTTTATTTCTACAAAATGTTTAGGGTTAGGATTGGGAATCAAAATAGTGTTGTGTCCAGGGTTGAAGTTAGGGATTCGGTTAGTGTAGGAAATTTCCACAGAGCAATTGTTACAAGAACATGTGTTGTACAACTGTGTTTGTTTGTTGTCTTTTTAAAATGGAAACCTGACGTGAAGTTATTGATCTACTTTTTTTTTACACTTATGGCATAAACCTCCACGGTTAAATAACCAAACGCACAAGAAGATTTAGAATTGATGTTGAGGAGGCGTGATGGCTCATTGTTAGTGGAGTGGTTTCGTAAGGTTCCGGGTTCGAAACCAAGTAAATGCGCTCAAGCCCTTTGACAAGGCGTTAATCCCCATTACCAAGTCCTTCGGAGAGGACTTAAAGCCGTCGGTCCCTGGATGCCTACTTAAAAGCATAATGCATGCTTTCTTAGCCGTCAGGTAAAACAATCATCATCATAATCATCATCATCATCATCAGCTTACATCGCGCGTAGTAGGATCCGTGACCTGACATTTTGCACCATTTAGCCTCGGCCTTTATTTTGTCATCGGGTTAGCCAGGGGTAGGGGTACAATTTGGTCATTGGTAAAGGTTTCGGTTTTGCGTTCCGCACAGTATTTGGTCCATGGTGGAAGTTCGGAAAAGTGCGGAAATTTACCGTGGAGCGATTGTCGCCGGAGCATGCGTGTAGTTGTAGAACCTTAGGTTCTCGCCTCGATGAAAATTAAGTCCCTTTCCATTATATTTACAAGTACTATGTAACTTCATGCATCTTATACCAGTCGTCATTTCTTTTGGCAATGCAAGATTCTTTTTCGGAGGGTTTCCGACATAGCAATACAAATTATTCAAGATGTTGCGTAAACACCCAAAAATATATAGATTGAATTAAATGTTTTCTCACTTTGTAACCAGGGAAGCATTTATATATATTTTTGTCAATCATTGTGAAAATAATGAAGGACGACGTTTGCTCTCTAAAGATTCATCTGATTTTAAGGACAATCTTAGGACTACATGAAAAAATTAAGATATATTTTAAGATGCTGAGCAAAGGTTGAATCTATGCTTAAAATGTAATGTTTGTGATTAATTTACCTTCTAAATGATAGTTGTGTAATCAAATAAAAAAAGGGAGGGGTGAAAAAACGCAAGAAGGAGATAAACACAATGAAAGGTTACATCTGGACAGAAAATGTTTAAAAACTCATTAAGTCGAAATTGGAATACAACTAAAGCTGTCAACAATGAATTACATTACGGATCTATAAAAAATGAAAATAAAAATAACAAAAGCATTGATTGAAAAGGGCAAAACTGCCAAATTGAAATCATAAGAGAAATGTGGTTATATATTCAGTAATGGAACCATATAAGTCTATAAATAATCTGAAACATGTCTGAAACTGCCAATCGCTATTCAAAAAAAGTGATGTGGTCAGCCGCATACGTCATTATGACATCATTAGATGCAATATTTAGCTGTGCTGACAAATGGGGGGTATTTGACAGATAGGAGTTGTCAAAGAGAGGGAGAGGGTATTACATGACACCCCACCCAACTTGCAGTAAGTTTGATTTAATTGCTTTTATGATTTGCGTATTCCTTGAGGGGTCATTTCTATGAAACCTGCATGATGGAGGATTTTCGGCTGATGTGGCTCTATTTCAGTGTGTCGAGAAATAATTTAAATAAAATAGACTTGTTTACTAACATATTCAAATTTAAATGAATGTTTCTTTCCTGGGGACTTAGTGACGAGTTATTCCATTAACCTGTTATTAATAAATGAACTACGATACTTGTAATTCGGTCTGCATAAACTATTTGTTGCTACGTCGGGTAAGCCTGTGGCAAGCATTCAGGTCGTCAAGAACAACCTTTGTTTAAAAAAGTATGCATACAATTTGAATATTTGGCAAACCGGTCTATTGCTTCTTTACGTCCGGGTGTATAAATTGCTTTTAAATCGGGAAAACTAACTTTCAAATCATTCTAAACGACTGGAGGTTATGATGTGATGTACACGAAAATGATGATTAATAATATTTATCATTTTCATCATAATCAGGCCTATTTCGATTATTCATATCGTCATTGATTGGTATAATCTTTACCACCATTTCTAATGTGATAATTTTGTAATAATTATAAGCTTTATTGTTGATATGATTACCATTGTAATTATGGTATAACTATAATCTAATCCTTTTGTATATCCCATTTTCCATACCCCTGTGGTAATGCTCGGTCATCACTCATCGAGGTTACTGTCTTGACCAAATGACGGAATGGGTCAAGTTGTTATGGGAATATCAGATGGCGGGCATATTCGTTCCCCTTTTTTAAAAATATATTTGTTCCCCCTTTTTTGTCGAATATATCTTTGAGACACCTCACCGGAGTTTGCTTCTGTAGGTACGAGAACACAATTCTGGTAATACCCATGATACTGATGTCACTGTAAATATTCTTTCACATCATCTTTATCTTTTTAATTTGTAATTGACTGGTATAGTGAGAGATCTATAATGTTCTAAACTGATAAAAAAAAAAAAACATTTTAAAACCCGCTGTTTTTGTGTACGGTAATGTGAAATTAACATATTTATAGATGTTTGAGTTATTTCTATATCTCCTCATCTTCTTTACTTTGTTTTATCGATGACTACATCATCTCCGTCTTTATCTCCATTTTTGCATTTTTACTCGAACTCCAGCATCAGGATGAAGTACATCAATAACAAATCGTCATTGTCATTATCACAAGCAAATCACTACCATCATCACCATCATCATCATCATCATCATCATCACCATGCACCATTATCACATCATCAACACCGTCAGCTTTGTCATCATTGTCGTCATCATCGTCAACAACAGTGCCAAAACAATCATCATCATTGTTACTTTTGAACCAATCATCTTCATCATCATCATCTTCATCGTTGTTATCACCACCACAATCATCATAATCATTATCACCATCATCATCATCATCATCATGTTGATAAATGTTATCATCTTGATCACTATTATCATCGATAACAACAATCTATTATGAACAAGTATTATTAGAACATCTGTCGGCATCACTCTCTTTCTTTCACCCCATCTTCTCATTCTTTCTCTTCTGAAATTCTCAAATCTAACTTCTCACTATCATCAATCTACCATCATCATCAACAATTTCACTAACTCTCCGAATTCAAACATGAATTAATGACAAACTAAACCACGATAATTTTATCTTTCGCTCTTTACTTAATTCTTATTTTATTCAAACATCAAGTTGAAAGGAAAATTTGATAATTTCTTTATTATTCCTCTGTAGCGCATGCAATTCATCATTACACTTACAGGTCGTATGGTCACAATATCGTCGAAATGGGAAATATTAGGTATACACATAATGAAAATACATGTTTCATAAGTATATCAAAAAATTCGTGGTCGCAACATTTTGTAAGAATAAGTACCAATTACTCAAACATTTTTGGCTTTGGCGTTTTCGTCTTAGTTTTTATTTTTTTTGAATAAGGGCAGTGTGGATATCATACATGGATAGCGTCATAAATATAGTCCGAATATTCAAAATGGTCAAATGGAAATTTTGTTATGTGCTTTGAAATTCGGACGGATACATTTCATGATTAAAGAAAATTACAATCTTGTTTATAGTATTCCGAAAGAATAAAATGTGTTCTTTCGTCAAAATGATGTTTATAATACGAGAGAGCATAGAATTCAAAATTGTGTGCTCTTCTTTGATGTTCATGAAAAGAAGGAAGTCTTAACAACATGTACTTTTCTTTCTTTTTGTAAAAAGAAGTTCGTTTGTTTTAGCATAAATGAATAGTACATTTGTTTGTGTTTAATTGAGTTGTGATAGTTATATTTTGATAGTTAGGATTATTATACGAGTGTTATTTTTAGCTAACAAAGTAAAGATGAAAACTACTTCTACTTTTGGTCTTTATCGAAAAGTCGCCTTTTCCGAGAATAAAAGAAATAGTAAAAATGCATGGACAGTATTATCTTCAAGTACATAAACAGAAGAAAATAAAAATCAATCATTATGACTCTATCAAAGACTAGTCACAACTTGTTGAATACATTTGATCAATGGGTGTGGTTTAGTTGGCACCGCCCATTGAGCTATAGATGCCAAATATACATGAACTATACAGCTATCATGTGTAATAATCACATAAACATAGAATTAATCAATTTTTGTAATAAAGTATAATACACTCAATAATCAAAGGCATGTAGTTGATTTCATATCGACGTATCTCTCTCACAATAGCGAGCTCAATAAATACAAATCGCGTTCTTCTTTTTTAATTCTTAAATAACTTAAAGAGTATAAAAATTACGTCTAAAAATATATTATATTCTTCGCCATTCTCCGATTGTATTTTCACTTTCATATAATACAAACACGTCTTTTTTTTCTTAAATCTACACGTATCTCCACTCTCGCATATTGCTCAGCAATGCATTGGCAGGTTATTCTTATTGGAGACAAAACAAAAGTTAGATTTGTTTGAACACGTGGTGTGTCGCTCTAAATTTCGTCACCTTTCACTTCGAAAACGATTTTTAAAACTTTAGAATAGAACATTGGAAGATTTCAGACTAACCTTGCATAGATCCTTGATCTCAATAACGAGCAGCTCTTATTACTAAAATGATTATACGGAGCAACTGAATCGGTCCTAATGTCAAAGTTCATACACATCAGAATACGCTTATAAACAATATATAATATTTCTAGTTAAAATGTGATAGTCCAAAATACAGGCTATTGAATAATGTGTACATTTATTCACAAATGGTAGTAATGTACATATATCTCCCGAATCATAATACAATGTCCAATGCGTGAGGGTATAATATATTCATCTAAATACTTATTTTGTTCAATTCCATATTAAACTTTGTCCAAAGTAAGGGCAGGACGATATCATTCTTTATTAAACTTCTTTACAAAGCAAAAGATATAAATCTTTCTTCATATTTTTTTTTTCGTTTTTCTTCTTACATTCCATGATCAATATCTTTTTGTACAACATGTACAGTGAGCCTATTTGTTGAAAATCCCTGTCATTTTCATAATTATCAAGAATTTTCATAGCAAGATACCAAATTCCTCATTCCATGATATCATGAAATGATATGAAATGATAGATTTAAATATATTTAACAATTAATATCAAGGAAACTGGTCTCATCAACCATTCTCAGAAACCACTGACAGCAAGTGAGATGGGAAATAATGCACATAACGTTTCACTTAAAAATTCGCGATTAAGTACACTTTGATTCGTCGCGATAAATCACATTTAAAGTTTATATAACGTGAATAGTACTATAAATAAAATATACAAGGACTGTCCACATGCTCCGCATAACGCCATTTTCTTCTTGCCACAGAAATGTGTTGGCGTTAGGGGCATTATCGTCATTTTGGTTGGTTAAAAAGGGGCACACCCCAAAATTTGTTAGATTAGCCGAATTCAAAGGTAAGAGGCAGAGTTGCGGAAGGATACACAAGCCATCAGGAAGGGGTACATATAAACCTCACATAATGTTGATAGCCTTATGTTTATAGCTGCAAGAAAGAAGCCATTGGTTGTTTAGTACAAAGCGTACGAACGGGATGCACATTAAAAAAATTAAACATGAAAGAGTGAGAAATTAAGAAGAATGTCGTTTTCGTAAATGGTTAGATATTACAAATAAAACTTGACAATATGTAGCTTACACATTGCTACAACGTTTGGAAACGATAACGGTATTAGTTCAGGACAGGGCAAACATAATGTTTTTGAAATCGTGACCAAAACAAATCATCGTCTTCTAGTCTTTATATGAAAGAATTTCCGCGGTTCGGATCGATTTAACTTGAAGAAACCATGGAGTTAGGCTAGTAACTCCATGAAGAAACCAAAGTGGGTTTAAAATTGTGTTAGATCATGAATTTGATGAGAGTTTGTGGGTTACATAAATTATTTAGAAATGTTAAAAATGTACATCACCACTTCACACTTCGTAGAATATAAACTCCACTTCGTTTACATTACCTCGATAAGATTTGTTCAAGCTTGTTTCCACAAACTAAATTTAGTATTCGATAAAAAAAATTAAACATCAGTTGAGAAAAATACAAAATTTTATGCTGAATTAACGAACGTTAAGTAGTCTCGTGTTCAGTCGTCATCTGGTAGCACACATACATTGAATTTCTTATGGTGATTGAAGGTGTACATAACATGAATACATCAACAGAATGAGGTAAATAACAAAGGCGCATCAGTATTGCCAATTTGATGATCGAAAATCTAGTGATCATCCCCTCTTTGATGCGCTGTGTTGACCGATTTATTACAATAGCACACGTGAATACAAAATAATCCTACACCTCATTTTTTTCGAATTCATTTTTAGGTTCCTATAATCAGTTCGTTTCCAATTCTATGTGCATATACAACACATTGCATAACTTGCAATTGTTTGGCAGCGTGTGGTTTTAATTGAATTATTCAGTGGCACGTGTTTTTCTGTTCTTTCTTAAAGCAACAGCCTGTTCTGGTGAACATTCAGTTTTTGTTAAAAGTCTTTTTTTTAGAAAGTTCGTGTACCGCCTCATGCGTACACTGTGACGTAGGCTAATAAGTGGTGGCGCACTGCATCTTTCGAGCTTAAATCAGGGGCAGTTTGTCGTCTGCTACTCATGTGCAGCGCGCCATGGTCTTTAAAAATCAATCTCACTGTGAGAGAAGGGCCGCTTTTCATTCAACTGAGGGGAAGGGATGCTCAAATGCTTCACCATTTAACAAAAATCTGATGATTATACTGTCTTTCTGAGAGAAAATTCGATTCAATCGTCCATTTGTCTCCCTCTCTCTCTCCATAACTCCTCTCCCCAAAATCGCTTCCTGGCTGTACGTTGTTGTCGTACGCGCTCGGTGTTGCTCTATTTCGCGGACCTGTTTCGCCTACGCCACTTTCTTGATAGTCACAAGAGCTCCTCGGGCGGAACCAGCGGAATGAACTGCGCCTTCTTCTGTGTGCGCACCTTGGCGATCCTCGACTCGCCGTACTTGTTGATGGAGAGGAAGAGGGTACGGTGTCTCCGTCGCTTGCTGGTGCTGTCCGGCATCTTGTAGGCATAGGTGTTGAAGAAGTTGGGCTCAAGCTTCTCCTGGAAGTAGCAGTTCCGACTTACTCGGGTCTGTGGTTGGGAGAAGAAAAGAGAGAGAGAGAAAAAGAGATGATTATTATGGTTTTACGTACAGGGGAAAGAGAGAATAAAACGAACGCCAAACAAGAAGACAGAGAAAAAGAGAGAAAGAAAAAGAGGGAGAGAGAGGAGGAGAGAAAGAAAGATATAAAGTGAGATAGAGAGAGCACAGACAAATGTTGACAGCATTAATATGGCCACGAGAGGATTTTTTTTGGTTGCGTTATCAAAACGACAGTAGTTAATCAGTCGACTACGTGCTACATTATCATTCGTCGTTGAAAAGGCATCATTTCTGACGTTGGTCTGCGTCAACAGCTGACGCAGTCTGTGACGCACTATGTCTGAGTGACGTCATACACAATGTGAATGGAAAATTAACCTTGCAATCATTGCGCTGAATATCTAGCGTCGTTGCCTTCGTATGATTAATTGGCGCAGGTAATGACGCAATCGAATTAACGCCTCGTGTGCAACGAGCATAGTCTTTGTGATAACTGTATAAGTTATTATCTATTGGTACTTACGTCTCCATAAAGGCTGCCGCTATCGTCGACACAGACGTAAAGCTGGCTTCGAAGTCCCTTGATGGAAACAATACTCCGCCTCTGCGACTGGATGTAAAGACTAGCTGTTGAGCAAAACCAAAAAGAAAAAGAAAATGGTAAGTATCATTCGGCGACAATTCGTTATTTGATAAGGATAGTGTAATAATGTCGCATATAATTTTGTAGATAAAAATATACTATAAAAGGGGGAAATATTCAAAGTGTGTGGTCAACATGAACTTAATAAACTCGAGAAGTAAAGGCACATTATATGCTATTAAACCATGTTAATATCTACTTGGGTCTTTAAAGGTCTTATCGATTGTATTCCACCACTGATTTTATTTACTTTGTTATGAATACGAATGATAAAATTGATGGATGTAAACATTATTTATGTCTGACATGCGAGCTGTCATTTTCTGTGCCGCTGTTTCATTCCAAACGGGAAATAGAGAGATGCTGGAAGGAGAGTGGGAGGGAGAGCGAGAGAGGGGGTATTCCATTTTCCTCATCGTTCCATGGTACTTTGTCTCTTCATCGTCTTGAAGGCCAAGACAGGAATACTTCTCTGATTGGATTGCTTTTTAATATGCCGTGATTGTTTGAGTTGGATCAAGCCTAGGTACGAGGTAATTGGCTGTCGCGAGCGGAGCGGGATGGCGGCTATCGGGTCGTGTCAAGTAGCAACGGGGATCCTACTGGGAACAAATCCTTTACATCGGGTGTGCCACGACTGAGCGTTCACTTTCCCTCAGAACAAACCCCTCCCGCCCGCCCGCCCACCTCCCCGCCAAACCAAGTCACGTAGAGAGAAGACGCGAAAAACTTCTATTATGTTTTTTTCCCCTTTTCGGAAAACAAAAATACACGACAAAAACCAATCGCCGCAGCGAGAGGTTAGCTAAAAACTCTAGTTTGATCGGTCGGGAGTCCGCGCTCAAATTTCTGGAGCTAGCATGGGACCACTATCGACTGCTAACTACCCAATTAACCCTTCCAACATCGGGGCAGATTGCCCCCGACTGCTCCTACAGTTTATAAAGGTTGACAGTTGGCAGTAGCCGGGTTAAAGCAGTTTTGGGGGCAAGTTACCAGGTGCAGGGAATTTTTCTCCATGATGACCTGCGACCCCGCGTGTTTTTTTATCATCAAAATCACGCTGCAAATTTATAGAGGTTGTCTGCAAGCGGTTAATGGGTCCTTTCAAAGCCAATGTTGGTCTCCAAAATGGGAAATTTATTTGGGCTGCTAGGCATTTAGTAGATGCAGCCGTCCGACAATTCTCGACAGAAAAAGGGGGAAAGAAAGACCAACATGAAGTTTCGGATGATCTTCCCGCTTTAAACATAGACGACTGGCAGATTTGAGAATCGAACTCGCCTCGAACAGTCAATATAAGTTCACATATTTTATGGTGAAAATCAACGGTTTTCTTTTGATATGTTTGATATATATTTCTTTCCAGTTTGTCACAAAACATTCCGAGAACAATTTCCAAAAAGGGTATCTAAAACTTAAACAATAGTCAGCAGTTAGTTGTTTGTCGATAACATACGCATGGATATCCTTTAACACGAATGCAATTTACGATTGTTCTATGTAGTTAACTGCATTTTTCTAATCCATCTAAAGGATATCTTATTTGCATTAAACGTCAACAATAATAAGAAGTTGGAACGGTTTGGGAGTAATTATGAAATATGAGATTAGTACAAATAAAGTGTATCGACGCCGAGTTCTCCAGCGGATACACGTGACGACACAAAATCATGTTCCGTCGTCACCCGGATGTTACGACATAATGGGATGACAATAAGTCATGATCCACGTGATCATGTTGCTAATAAACATCCCTGGTACGTGTAGACAGCATAACTATGTCAATCCGATACCCTTAATAACATACCCAGAGCCCCAAGAGAGTATGAAGCACGGGCTATGATCGTTGAGGCACGCGTGTGCACGTTCCAAAAGTTACACTTATAGTGCTGTTTTCACTTGCAGAATATACAAGAATGTTAATCGCAACAACTTAGCCCCTTTTTCTTGACTAATAAATCTGGCATAAATCATAAAAAAGAATGGATATTCTATTTCGAGAATCAAGCAGAAACCTAAGCCTCATTTTGATACGGATTTCCTGCTCATTTTTCATCCCTTCTCTCGCACGCGGTTTAACGTCTGTATCATCTTCACTATCGTGCACCGGAAACGTGAAACTTTTGTCCCCCTGCTCGAAGATATCGGATACTTTTGAAAATGGTTCCTTCTCAATATCTTCCGCAGGATGTTAACTTCTCAAAGCGGTCTATTTCACGCCCTTAGTTACCAACAACAATAAGACACTCCGTAACCTTTTCATTCCTGTTTGCTTACGGTCAAGTTATCGGGCATACCCTAACCGTTTTGGTCTTTGTGCGAGAGGAGGTCCGTTATGTAAACGCACCGCCGAGCTCCGGCCGCCCATTGATGTGGCTGTTTTGCTCGTCTTTAGCGGTTGACGGTCAACAAATAATCACCAATCGAACTAATTGTCTTCTAAACCGTTACATAAAAATATAATATAAAGTTGTGCTAAATAAGAGCAGCATGCCCTGAGTTATCAACTAACAATTCTAAGTAATACCTATGATACAACTCTTTTAAAAGCACTGGCACATTGTATAAACAAAGTATTGTGAGTTCAAATGTAAGAAATTCAACCATGCAACTATGTTCTTATTTTACTTGGAGCTCTCGGTATTATTTCATGTGACACGCTTAAATGTGTGACGAAAAATTGACTTCTTTTGAAGAGTAGAAGATGGGCATTAATCATATTTGTTCTCGTTCTTTCTCACGTATCATGCATGGTTTATTTTTAAACCAATTCCTAGCTGGCTGCGTGTTTTATTCATTTATTTCTTTGTTGAACAGGAAAGTTGTGTCATTTGTGCTTTATTTATGGTTCCGTAACCAAAACATACCGTAACGTCTCCAATTAAACACCTTTATCCCCCTCCCTCTTCCTTTTTCCCCCTTCCCATCTTCTTTTTATATTCTAGAGCGGGTATTTTTGCGTTGTGTTGTTGGGCCATCTTTAGCAGCGCTGTGAAGGGGCATGAAATGAGACAGAAACAGAACGAGAAAACAAGTTTGCGTTAGGGCTTAGCGCCCCCAGGCCAATGGCTAGGATCACCACGCAGAAGAGGGTCCTCAAGTGGCCCTTTAACAGGTACACTTGAGCACTCGAGAGGTGAATAACAGAATGTGGTTACACGTGTTACCAATAAGGTCTTAAACGACAAAAGAAGGACTGGCTTAAAGACCTGGTCAAGCGACGACGAGTACCCGCACACGAAAATAAATGAAGACAAATGACAAAACGAAAGGGTGATCATTCAAGAACGAAAGAGAAACGAATGCCTGGAAGATAAGGGATTTGTATTTCGAGTATTCTGCAATAACATATGACTTCCCAAGATCACTGTGGACCTTTTTCGACAGTATTAACTTGTTTCAGATTATGAGTCCTTTTTGATATGAATTTGTTTCAAGCCAGCCAGTGACCTTGATGCCCAAGTTCGTTTTTAAAAAACAAACAAAATTAAAGGGCAATGAATAGAGATTTGAAGATTGTTTTCTACGTCATTCATTCTCTGTGTGCCATAGTAGCTCAAGGTAGACGGTTACCCATGTTAACAAGACATCGTATTTCCGTTTAAATTCTGGTATAGTCTGAACTCTGGGAACAATAAGTTCAACATTTGCATTGGGTACGGCTTATATTTGTTTATTAATAGACTAACTGGCATTGATCTATCCATGTCAAATAATTTCTGAGTACTTTCTGAGACTGCCTTTCAGATGACATTTGTTTCGAACCGTTCCGGCTCCGATTTATAGAAGCGTTTCCATGCAACTGATAATGGATGCTATTATCACGTGTTGAAAGCGAAAGGAAACCAAAGTCTGATGTTTTCTGGTTTTTGTCAAGTGCGATTGTAATTTATCAATGATTGTATATTTCATTCAAGAAAGGGACAGAACGTTGTCTGAGAAACTATTACTTGACAATAATTGAGAAACTATTAGCCATGTAGACTATTTTCCATCATTTTACCTGTTTGATTGGCCATTTTATTTAGAGCTACACGATTGCTTTTGTGTCACTCGTTGCGTTTTTAAGAGGGTCCACAAAAGTGACAAGTATTACGACATCTCTTGACAAAAAGTCCAGACTGGCGAATTTTCTTGTTACGATTCCTCTCGCGAGTTGCAATGAGTTTATCCACTTCTTCTCTTCCTATTCAGAAAGAGAATGCCAGAAGAGTTCGGTTGCACTCTTGAAAAATCTGTTTTGTTTGACCAGCTCGTTACGAGGAAACAAGTGGGAAATCGTTGAAGGGGCTCCCCTCCCGAAGGGGGTTGGTTGGACTACGGAAGCCTTTCGCGTTGTAACGGGGGCCCCAAGTATGCTTGATTTCAAGACATCTTCATTAGTAATGATGAAGCATTCGATCCCAGACGCTCTTCGCCGTCTGTTACAGATACAATAGACAATGCCACAGGTGCGTGTAGTCACTCTCGGCCTCGTGTCTAGCTCTGTCATAACGCCATTTTCCCAGGGCATATTCAAGAATCTTGCAGCCAAGTAAGAAAGGTCGCAAATTCTCAAGATTTAAGTTCGATGCAAGAGGCTTTAATCACGGTGCCGGGAGTCAGAAGGTGAGAGACAAGAATAGCATGATTGTGGTCAGAACAGCTACCCGAACCATAACTGAGACTATGTCTAAACCCCTGCGTCACCACGTCTCAATTCCATTTTTATATATCCATCATCCACGCCGTTCCATTATAATATCATATCTACTCATCATCACTGATTTTAATGGCGAGAACCGTATTATTCTTTAGACAAAAATATAGAGACTTTCACACGATAAAAATGTCTCATGATATAGGCCTATAGAATGTGCTTGTCTTTTATACTAAATGTGATTTCGCTATCCTCTTCCCCTATTTTTTACAATTTGTTTGCCTTATTTTCTTGTCTGTGAAGTACTTTCAGACGAAGAAAAAGTGTTATTGTATTTTGTGT